TTGATTATATTTTGATTTCAAGAAGATTCAGGAGCACCTTAGTTCGAGCAAAAACTAGACCAGGAGCAGACTGCTTTAGTGACCATGTTCCAGTTGTAGTAAAAATTAGAATAAAACTAAAGAACAATAGAAAAACACCACAGAACATCAAGTTAAATTTAGGAATTCTTAGAACGGATAAAGAAATTAAGGACCAGTACAATGTCACTGTACAAAACTGGTATAATGCAATGGAAATTATACAGACTATTGATGAACAGTGGGATATGTTGCGTCAGTCAATTCAGCAGACATCTAAAGAGACAATCTCACCAACCCATAGAGTTGCAAAAAAAGAAAACTACAGGAAATGATAAACATTGTGGTGTTAGAAAGTGGAAGAATGGACCTCAGTTTGAATAATGGGAAGACAGAAGTAATGGTGGTATCAAAGAAACGAATTATTGTTAAGTGTGTAATAAAATGTGATGGTGTTATTTTAGGACAAGTACAGAAATTTAAGTGTCTGAGCACATGGATTCATCAGATGGAAGATGAATAACTGAGATAAGAAATAGAATAGGGCAGGCAAAAACTACATTTTATAAAATGAAAAACATCTTGTGCAATATATCCTTGTCATTGAGAGTAAGAAATAGAATTCTTGCTTGCTACATACATCCAGTTTTAAAAAATGGCTGTGAATCCTGGACAATCGGTAGGCAGGCCAAACAATTTCTGGAGGCCTCAGAGATGTGGTTTTACAGAAAAATGCTTAGAATACCTTGGACAGCAAAAAACAGCAACCAAGAGGTTTTGAAAGAGGCGGGAGCCCGAAGACAACTTATCACAGACATCAGAAGGAGACAGTCATCATTTTTCGGCCATGTTATGAGAAGAGGGAAAATAGAACATGTTGTGACCACTGGAAAGATATGTGGAAGGAGAGATAGAGGAAGACAACGAGAGAAGATTATTGGCAGTCTTGTTGCATGGCATGGAGATGTGTCGGCACACGAACTGATACATGCTGCAGGAGATCGCAGATTATGGAGAGGCATGATCGCCCACGCCAGTCGACAAGGCACCTGATAATGATGATGATAATAATCGTGTCGGCTCTGTGGCTAAGTCGATGCGAACGCTTCATAATGTTGAGGTGCCGGGTTCGATCCCAGCTGCGAGTCATGCGCCTTGCGTTGGTTTCGACAGTGGTATCAGAATGCCGATCGTCCAGAAAGCAATGACAAACTACTGGACGTAAATTGCCTAGAGAAACCACACGACAGCCAGGGGCTGCTGGGGTTGGTTCTGCGTTCCTGTAAAGGATGCGCAACTAACCTTCTAATAATCGCTTTCTAATAGGAAAAGAAAAAAAAGGGGGGGGGGGAGGGATGGTCTTTTTTGACGTGGTGTTCTGAGACTGAGGACTTAGAGCTGTGGTCTGCGAGAAAACCAAAGGCCTAGAAGTTGATCCTCTCGACTTTAACTATTAAACAGCTCCTGTGATTGTGGAGCAGAAAGACAGACCCCTGAGCACATACTGCAGTACTGCCCTTACCTCTCCCAGCAAAGACTGTGGATCTGGCCCAGGGGATCCACATTGCGAGAGAAGCTATGGGGGACCGGTGGCGACCTTAAACGCACAATCCTATTTTTGACCCAGACGGGACTCAATGTGTAGCATGACTGATGTCGAACGCAGAAGAAGAAGAAGAAGAAAGCTCATTCTATATATATATATATATATATATATATATATATATATATATATATATATATATATATATATATATATATATATATATAGAATGAGCTGTTTTCTTCTTCTTCATATATATATGTGTGTGTGTGTGTGTGTGTGTGTGTGAATCAATGAAGATTGGCTAATACACAGCATTCTGTCTCGTAAGCTGAAATATTTTGGTCATATCAAGCGCCACGACGGATTGGAAAAAATTATAGCAGAAGGCATGGTACCAGGAAGGAGCGGCAGGGGCCGACCGACACGAAGATGGGCACAGGAAATAAGTGACTCTTTCAGTATGAAAGTGCATGAGGCGGGAGAATTGGCCAGATACCGAGTTTCTTTCAGGCAGACTGTGATGAGAGCAACGTTCTGCAAAGGACCTGCTACATGATGATATATATATATCATAAACCACTTCTGCCGTTAAGCGGCGTGGGGAGGAATAATTTGCGATCCAGCGCACGTTGGCTGCCACTGGCTTTTGTCATGCCGTGAAGGCGTAAAGTGTTTTTAATGTTGTCGATCAAAATTAGAATTTTGAGATCATGCATCTTTCCTGTAGCAACATACGGATGTCTTCTTCTTCTTCTTCGTGTTCACCAGCTGTATACTCTGGCAGAAAGTTCTGGTTGCTCGTCCACTACTGAACTGCAGTCCTGTTCCAGAACCTGAGTGTTGCATGTGCATCAGTTTTACAGATCTCATTCTTTTGAATACAGGCTGTTGGTTCCTTGCCTCTCCGGCAGATGCACTCTGACTTCAAAGGAAGCTCCCCAATTAGTCGACTATTACGACATGCTTTTGGGGAGGCAGTGGGTCTATTCTTGTGCTGGTGACAGAAGGTAGATTTCTGGCCTGTTTATTTTAGTTTAACAACCTATAGCTGCTGGCACTGGCCAGGTGGGTCAGTGGAAGCTCTTCAGTATTGTCCAGCACGTCACGTGAGTCGTGGAAGGTGATAAAAGGCCTGATTCTGTTAACAGTTTCCCTTTCCAGCGATAGCGGTAACAGAGGCTAGAAGCCCTTCCGATTTGTCGCCCAAACCGTACACGGTTAAAGCGCAAATTAGGTTCAGACTGCGTGAGTTTTTAGTTTCTGATTTAGTTTTACTATTAATATTTTTAGGTTATTATTTTGTATTCCTTGGTGGGAAGTACAGTAATTTGGGGTTGGCTGTTCCATGACTAATTAATAATCCAATTAGATTTGAGCTGAGGTAATTATTGGAGATGTTTGATTAATACTTTTGTGAATATAATAAGTGTGCGAAAGGTACGCCATAGTTTTGGAGTCACGGTGGACTCTTCATTATAAGAGTTTAATTTGAAGAGGTTTGATGGCGGACAGGGAATGCCCTAGAAGTTTCGCATTATGAAAGTAATAACCCTTATTTTGTACAGGCAAGTAAGGATTAAGTAATTCTATTAGTTTAGGCTAACTTAGTATACGAGTATGATTTTGACACGTGTAACTAGTAAGGGCTTAAGAAATAGTTCTACAAGCCGCGGTTCTACACAAGCCATGTGTACACACAAGGTCTGCTACAAATGGCGGCGTGTGACGTTCTACTGATACTGTACTAAATTAAATAGTACCTTTAAATATAGGGGCATCTCGTAAGGAGTTTCCTTTAATAAATTACTGTCAGGGTTGTAAGTGATGTTTCAGCTGTTGGGTTTTATGTAATATGTAATTTCTTGAGGTTTCAGCAACATGAAAGGGGTTATGTTACAAACAGGAATTAGGGGATTAGAATATAAATAATGCATTGTAATATTTCGTATAGAACGACAGGTGGAGTTAGGAGCATGAGTGCACTCACTATCTATGATTGGTAATAATGATAAGCGGACGATTCATAACTATTGTTGTTTGATACACCTTTGGGCACATAGGGCTAGACCCATATTTTATAGAACCAGCACTTGGTGGGTGAGGTGGTCAACACCATGCCGGCCGCTTTGACTTGATGTGGAGTTTTTGGAGTAATGGCACTCAGGATAATTATTGGGTGTTTATATGTTGTAATCTGACATTATATAGTGTTATGTATTTTTATAGACTATTGCTATTATCGTTAGATGTGTTGCACATCTGCTGTTGTGCATGTTCCCAGCCTGGTAATTAAACCCAGAGCTGATTGTGCTAAATGGCACCGATGAACTCTATCGCAAATGATATTGGACACTAGGTGCCTAGGTCAGAAGAAGCAAAGGTACCTAACTATGAATTATGTGTATGTGTTATATGTTAAAGTGGACAGGGAGTCATAATTCTGTTTTTCCTACAGATAACGGTACTACCTGGTCGTTGGTCTGCTAGTAGTTGTCAGTATTTTGTTATTCATTGATTAACTAGTTGCTTGGTTAGTTCTACTGGTCTGCTTATGTACGTTCAGTTAGTTCTTTAGTATATTTAGTTTTTGGAGTGTTGTCAAGAATTATTGTTATGTCATCAACAAATAAAGTTTCTGTATTCGTCAACTTACATTCGTGTTATTTTAGTTAGTATGTCTAGGTTTTACTGTTAAACTATATTAGACCCCACACAGAAGATTTGCTGCCAGGGTGAGATACTTTGATTTTACCCCCGCCTAAACGAACTTTCTTTTTCTCTTTTCTTTCTTGCTACTGAGGCAGCTTACGGTTGGGTTTAGCTCGCCACGCGACATTGTTGAGAGCTCTTGTAGGTTCGGAGTCGAGATTTTAAGGAGTAGATTTCCATATTATCCTTAGTTATCTCTTCTCTTTTCCCTTCATCACAAGTTATCCCCTCCTCTGCATTTGCCTCTAGTACAAGTGGCGTCGTCGACAAGGATTAGGTGGCCAGTATTTGTTTTGTGCGTTGTCTAGATAGTCGTCCAGTTTGGCGTAGGGTTAGGTTAGGTTGCTTTTGGAATAGTCTGTGCTAGGGTTTGTCTTGTGGTATCGCTAGTGGAGACCAGGTAGATACCCAACATCCGTGCAGTGCTGTACCTGGAGGATTCCCTTTGACGTGTGAGGGAATAGCTGAATCATGAGTCAGCGTTCAACACGGTCTGGTGCCAGAGAGGGGCAGGAAGAACCCCCATCTCTTACATTGGGAACCAATGATTCCCACCCAGTGTACGCTCCCAGTCATGAGCTCGCTGAGACAGTAAGGTATGTTGTGTTACCTACTCGCCGCAACATCAGGACATTTGGCAGTCCAGGTGGTCCATCAATTGAAGAGTATTTAAGGGAGGTGAAGGCTGTCTGGAGAGCGTGCGCAGTGGGGACAGCAGACAAGCTTGATGTCGTTTTTAGACAGCATCACCCCTACTGTGCGACGGGAGGTAAAACTCCATTGTTCAGATGATGACCCAGAGGCCATGCTGGAGGCAATGTTGAAAATCTATGGGGAACACAAATCCCTCCAAGAGCAGATGGCAGTTTTCTATACAACAAAGCAGGGAAGCAAGGAGTCTGTGATGGAATTTTCACACAGGCTCCATGCTGCATTTGAAGCCATAACAGATGCACAGTCAAGTGGCGGTGTGACTGTCATGACCCAGCAGGTCCTGAGGGATCAGTTCATTGCTGAGCTGCGCAATGAGCTGACCAAGCGCATGTTAAAAGAGCGAGTACTCCAAGAACCTTCGCTGACATTTTTGGCTGCTAGGGACTATGCCCTTAGGTGGGCGAATATAAATAATGAACTTCACCTGCAGTCCCGAGGTAGAGACATTAATTGTGCCGTGGTTAGTCAGACAGAGCCCAGTGTATCAGGCCCATCAACTAGAGCGCTGGAAGACAAGATTGACTCGTTGTCTAAAGAACTGTCGCTGTTGCGGGCACATGTCGCTGGCACGAGGTACGACACAAGACCCAGGCAGAGAGTTATCCGTTGTGCCAGATGTGGTGGTCTAGGCCATTTGCAAAGCCGGTGCAGACAGGCAATAAACTAGACCCCGCTATGACTAGGAGTCAGGTTGCAGCCGGGGAGCGTGTTGGCTCACAGGTGAAATTAATAGGCGGTAGACCAGAGTGTAATGTGACTATACGCAACAGATCTGTTAGGTGTATTTTAGACACAGGTTCACAAGTGTCGACCATCTCTGAAACATGCTTTAACGAACTGTTTAGCGGAGTCCAGTTAGAAGTAGAGAATTTTGTCAAGTTAACTGCAGCTAATGGTACTAACATTCCATATTTAGGCTACCTGATCTGTAATGTAAAAATAGGTTCCACTTATATTAAAAATTGTGGTGTATATGTGGTTAAAGATTGTAGAAATAAAATGGTTCCTGGAATTATCGGCACTAATATTTTAGCAGCTGTGCCTGATCTGTGTAGATATTTAAAGTTAAAAGATTGTAAACCGGTTGATCCACAACAAGAAGTCAGCCAGGTTAAAGTGTGGGTTGTGGGAGGCAGCAAGATCCATGTGCCTGCCCATTCAATGGTAGTACTTCAAGTGAAAGGTAGAGTAGGGATGACTGTAGATAGAAATGTCCTTTTCGAACCGGCCAGGGACTTGGAGCACAAGGGTTTGATTTTGTCCCACACTGTTACTGTACTGCGACACGGTGTATGCCTAGTCCAGGCCATCAACATGGGGGACGAAGACTTGTTCTTGGCAAAAGGCACCCAGGTCGGTGCGATTTCAGATGCTACAGTAGACTTAAGCAAGCATTTCAAAGTAGTTGGTGCCCAAGAAGTCCAAATTTTGTCATCACCAGTTAGGGGGCATGATGAACCAACCAAATGTCCCATTGACCTGAGTAATTTTGAGGGTAGCGATAGTGAGAGACAGCAGCTAGAGGCATTGATATTAAAGTATGACAGTCTATTTGCCAAAGATGACTGCGACATTGGGTACACTGACAGGGTCACCCATAATATTTCTTTATCAGATGATACCCCTGTTAAACAACCATATCGGCGGATTCCACCAGCGTTTTACAGGGAAGTACAGGACCATTTACAAGGGTTGTTAGAGAAACAAATTATTAGAGAAAGTTCCAGCCCTTGGGCATCCCCTATTGTGTTAGTAAGAAAGAAAGATGGTACCCTTAGATTGTGTGTTGACTATAGGTCCTTAAATAGCAAAACAAAAAAGGATGCTTATCCACTTCCCCGGGTTGATGAATATCTTGATGCCTTGGGGGGAGCAAAACTGTTTAGCTCTTTAGATTTAGCAAGTGGGTATTATCAAGTCGCCATGGCACCAGAGGATAGAGAGAAAACAGCTTTTACCACACCATTCGGTTTGTTTGAATATAATCGAATGCCGATGGGTCTTGCAAACTCAGCGAGTACCTTCCAACGGCTTATGCAGTGTACGATGCATGACCTTTTTTTCAATGTTCTGCTTGTATATCTTGATGATATTTTAATATTTTCAGGTGATTTTAAGGATCATATTATAAGGTTAGAGAGGGTGTTTAACAGATTGTCCTCACTGGGTCTTAAGTTGAATCCAAATAAATGTAATTTTTGTAAACCTAAGATAGAATTTTTAGGACATACCATTTCGGCTGAGGGGATTGGAGCTGTAGAAGAGAAAATAGCAGCCATCCAGCAAGCACCCATTCCGAGAACCCAGACTGAATTAAGAGCTTTCCTAGGCCTTGCAAGCTATTACAGGAGGTTTGTTCCAAAATTTTCCACAGTTGCACGCCCATTGCATGAACTGGTTGCCCAGTTAAATTTACAGGTTGACAAGCATAAGAAGAAAAAGAACCCTATTGGCGAGTTGTGGTCTCCTGAATGTGATGATGCATTTAACCAGCTAAAAGGGGCACTAACATCTACGCCGCTGCTGGGCTTTCCAGATTTTTCCCAACCCTTTATTTTAGAAGTTGATGCCTCATACCAGGGTTTAGGGGCAGTGTTATCACAGATTCAAGGAGATGCAAAAAAAGTTTTAGCTTATGCTAGCCGAACCTTACGTCCCTCCGAGCGTAATGCTAAGAGTAGTCTAAAACTTGAACTTTTAAGTCTGAAGTGGGCGATGACGGAGAAATTTAGAAGTTACCTCTTAGGTTCTCAAGTCGAAGTTTATACTGATAATATGGGTTTGTCATTATGGAAGAAGGCAAGCTTGGGTGCTATAGAGCAAAGATGGTTAGCACAAATGTCTGTTTTTAACTACAAAATTCAACATAAACCTGGTCGAGCCAACGGAAATGCTGATTATTTGTCACGCTATCCGATTGGTGAACCAGAAGATTCGGATGAGGGAGGTGATGTTTCTATAAACCATGTTGCTTCATCACCGATTCCTCCAGAGTTAGGTTTGAGATCTTTAGATAGAGAAGCTAATTTGAATGTAATTGAAGTTATTCCAGATGGAATATCTGATGTAAACCTTAACATAAATCATAATGATTGCTCATCACTACCATCTTATTCTATGGTTGAGTTAGTCAAATTGCAAGAAGAAGATACAAATATTAGCAGAGTTATGGAAATAATCCTTAACAGTGTGAGAGTGTCCAAGGGAGAGATAAGGAAGTTACCACTTAGTGTTAAAAAGCTGCTTAGGCAGCGCAAAAGATTACATATTGTAAAAAAATTGTTGTATAGAAGAATTAAGGGGCATAGTGGTGCAGATGTTTTGCAGCTTGTAATACCAGATGCTTTGAAGCAAAGAGTTTTAGAATCTGTCCACAGTGCTGGTCACCAGGGTAGAGATAGGATGTTGCATATTCTTAAAGACAGATGTTTTTGGGTTGGTATTACCGACGATGTAGAGAAGTTTTGTAAACGATGTGCTAGATGTAACATTGCTAAACCACCTCACATAAAAATACAAGGTCCCACTGGTAACTTGTTAGCATCAAAACCATTTGAGATTGTTGCAATTGATTTTACCCTACTTGAAAAAGACACCAAGGGGTTTGAAAATGTTTTAGTAATTACTGATGTTTTTTAGTAAATTCACCATTGCTGTTCCTACCAGGGATCAGAAGGCATCAACAGTTGCCAAGGCACTTGTTGAAAAGTGGTTTTTGTATTTTGGGGTGCCGCAGAGATTGCACTCTGATCAAGGCAGAAATTTTGAATCTACTATTATTTCACAGCTGTGTCGAATGTATGATATTAAAAAAAGTCACACAACGGCATACAATCCAAAAGGTAATGGCCAGTGTGAAAGAATTTAACCGCACTTTGCATGATTTGCTGAGACCACTAGCGGCCAGTGAGAAAAGGAGATGGTCCGACCATTTAGCTGAAGTCCTGTTAGCGTATAATTCGACACCTCACGCATCAACAGGGTACTCTCCATATTATTTAGTGTTTGGTAAGGAGCCTAATTTGCCCATTGATTTTATGCTTAGTTTAACAACTGATGAGGGTGGAACAGAGAGTGTAGATGGGTGGTTGCAAGAACATTTGGCACGCTTGCATGAAGCTCACTGTAAGGCAAACGCTCATCTCAAGCAGGCGGCAGCTGTTAGAAAAGATAGATGTGACAAGTTTGCCCATGGCATACCACTACAGGTGGGTGAAGTGGTTAGAAAGAGACTACACTATAATGAGAGGGCAAAAATCAAAGATATGTGGTCTGTAGAGAAATATGTAGTGACTCGGGCACCAGCAATGTCTGGGGGCCCTTATGTAATAAAGAAAATTGGTGTAGAAGCTCCAGTGATCAGAGTAGCTGGTCATGAGTTAAAGCGCTGTGAAGAAGATGCTGCTGAAGAGATACCTGTGACACTTGGATTGCCTGAGCATCCTGTGGTCACAGCCGATGAAGATTCACAGTCAGAGTCAGGATGGTATATTTTCCAACCAGGGGATTTAGGTGTTCGGCGTTCAAGTAGAGCTCGCCACTCTGAGAACAGGCGGAAGTGGGGTGAGGATTTTATATATTTGTAGTTGCATTTTTTTGTAAAAATGAGTTGAATAGAGGTAAAGAGGAGGTGTTGAATTACTGAACTTGTTTTGGGACTCCCATATTTTCATGGTTTTTCAATTATTTACAATATTGATGTAATTTTTCTGTGTATGTCCATTGTACGATTTTTTGTTTGCTTTGATTTCAGTGGCATCCACTGATGTACTATACATTTTTTTGTTTTGACTTCAGTGACATCCACTGATGCATTTTTAATTGCATATTGATAATGTTGCAGATGTATTGTGCAAATGTATACTAGGTCATGGAATTTTTGCCATTGGTTATGACCCCTAATTTGGTGGGATGTAGGATAGTTCAGAGGGTTCAATAGGCAGTGATCTATTTTTATTACTTGGTTGTCGGGACGTCAACAGATTTAGTATGGGAATGTGTAACAGGCTGGTGACAGAAGGTAGATTTCTGGCCTGTTTATTTTAGTTTAACAACCTATAGCTGCTGGCACTGGCCAGGTGGGTCAGTGGAACTCTTCAGTATTGTCCAGCACGTCACGTGAGTCGTGGAAGGTGATAAAAGGCCTGATTCTGTTAACAGTTTCCCTTTCCAGCGATAGCGGTAACAGAGGCTAGAAGCCCTTCCGATTTGTCGCCCAAACCGTACACGGTTAAAGCGCAAATTAGGTTCAGACTGCGTGAGTTTTTAGTTTTTCTGATTTAGTTTTACTATTAATATTTTTAGGTTATTATTTTGTATTCCTTGGTGGGAAGTACAGTAATTTGGGGTTGGCTGTTCCATGACTAATTAATAATCCAATTAGATTTGAGCTGAGGTAATTATTGGAGATGTTTGATTAATACTTTTGTGAATATAATAAGTGTGCGAAAGGTACGCCATAGTTTTGGAGTCACGGTGGACTCTTCATTATAAGAGTTTAATTTGAAGAGGTTTGATGGCGGACAGGGAATGCCCTAGAAGTTTCG